ATTTGCAGGCGGGTGGGGTTTACCCCACAATTTCCACGAGACCGACACGCTCAGGTTGAAGGCTGGGTGGCCTCGCTAGGGTTGGGACGGTTGAACCAGGGGATCCAACTGCCCCGGTTAGCCTTCTTGCGGGCAGCTTCTTCCTCCTCGGCCAGCTTAGTCTCGCTGACTAGGCGCAGGGGACGCAGTTTGTTCTGGGTCATGACAGCCCCAGTGTAGTTGGTCATGCCGGTGCTAGAACGGGGAGAGCTCGAGGTTGCACCGGTGGATGCCGTATCACCAGCGGGATCGCTCGTGACACTATCCGAACTGCTCAACCGGCTGTGCTCAGGTTGACTGGAGAGTGAAGGCGCACGGCCACCGGTACTCATACTCGACATGATACTCGCACTGGAGAATGCGCTTTGACGATTTCCAGGTCCCATGAGAGTAGGGCTGATCGGACCACCCGAGTTGCGTCCCCGATACATCTGACCCACGACGGATGCTGCTCCAACGTCCGTTTGTTCCGACCTTGTGCGGCGGTGACCGCGAATTGACCCAGCACGAAGGGGAATGCTAGGTGCCGTCTGCGGGTTCTCGTGGGCGGTCGGCACACTGGTGGGTGGAGGCATATAGCTCGTGGGACGTGACCGCGGCTGGGTCGAAGGCCTAGGAGGGTTCGGGTTCGGGCCTGCAACGACCGACTTGGCGCGCTGGAGGAAGGTCTGCTGCGCATCATCCTTCTCAGGGGGGGTTGGCGGAAGCTCTTTGTTGCTGTGCGCAGGCATCGGCTTGGAAGGGGGGTCGTTTTCATTCTTGTCAAGGATGGTCTCGAAACCATCATGCTGCAAGAGGCGGCTGATAATCCGCTCGATGTAGAGGGTAAGGGCCTTGTTCTGGTCCTTCAGCGCCTTGATCTCCGTCTCCAGCTTGCGGGTGTTGTCTGTCTCTGCTCGAGCATCGACGGATTCTAGCTCGTCAGCCAACGAACCCAAGCCACTGCCAGGCTCCTTGACGTCCTCGGCAGTGTCCGGGTGAACTTCCCGCATGAAGTCACCCTTTGTGAAATCACCATTGAGGGTTCTCTCACTAAGGAGTAATTGATAGCTCTCATTATCCTCCATCAAGCGGGCATTCGCCATGCGAGCTTCCAGAAGCTCTTTCTCCAGCTCCCGCTGTCTGCCACCGCCCTTGTTCTCCATCTCGACAAGCTTGATCTGGGACTCAGCCAGCTCAAGCCGGAGAGACTCAATCAACTTATCCTTCTGCAAAAGCAGCTTCGAGTTATTGCGGGATGGGCTTCTCTCGATCTGGGAAGAGGGCGCGAATTGACCATCGACATCCGGTGATGCCCGGTTACGGAAACTAGCTATAAGGGGCATGTCAGCAGGTTTCACACTAGACGAGGACAAAGGAGAAGAAGAAATGATCTTCTTACATGAGCGAGACACACTTTTATCCGAATCGGCAGCATTTGCCCGCTCCTTCTGGGCCAGCGACTCCTTCAGACGTTGGATGGTAGCCTGCATCTCTTCTTCACGACTCGCCTGCTGTTCCTTCTCCTGCAGCATGGCATTCCGCTCCAGTTCGTGTGCCTGTTCAAGGTCGCGAATCTGGCGAACATGGTCACGGATCTCGCCATTCAGGGCCTCAATCTTGCTATCCCTCTCATGGCTCTGGTCCTCCAACTTGCCTTGCTCACTCACCGCCTCATCGAGGCGCATCTGGAGGACACCCAACTGCTTGCGATACTGCTCCGAGGCGGTCTCCGCCTTTTGCAACTGTTCCTTGAGGTCATCAATGAGAGCAGCGGTCTGGGCCCGGGCCTCTTCGTCGGATTGATTGGGCGTAACTTTGGGGGCACTGGATGTGCTCAGGTTGGAGCGACCGGGTTTCCGAGCCGCAGCCCGCGCAGAGACCGGAGTCGAAGCACGGAGAGACGGGGAACGAGTGACGCCATTTGTCGAAGCACTGGGAGAGCGGGTGTGCGTTCGCGATGCAGTGCCGCTGGCTGTGTGACTCTCTGCAGTCGAATTTCTGTTGGAATTGCCCGGGGTACTGGGCTTGCGAGGCGTCGCCGACATAATTACCGACAATGGGGTTCACACCAGAAACGTAGAATGATTCCAGAAGACGCAAAGCGGCCCAGAAAGGGGAAGGAGAAGAAAGGCCTCTGGGGCTTTAAAACTGGTATGAAACAGCCGGGAAATTAAGTCGATAAATTTAAGGGACAGCGGCCGAGAGGTTGTAGCGGTCAAAACACAGTGGGCACACTAGGTGACCTACTATCTCAGTGGGGGATGGCTCAGAATGGCTGGCCACGGCTAGCCTCTTTCCAGAACCACCAAGTAAGGATATTGGGGGGGAGGGTAGTATTTAAGTAGAGGACTGGGGGGACTTTGAGGGATAAGATCGCAAGTTAGGGATGAATCCGACAAACATGCGAAAAAAAGAGAAAAAGCTTGAAGGGGTGGGAAAGAAAAAGGAATAATAATGGGAACAGGTGGGCGCATTAATTGTTCGATTGGGTTGATGGGCACGATACAATGTCCACGGGAGTATGTATGGGAACGGCCGTATTTGGTAGTCTAAGGCAGGTCTAAGGCCCCAACTTACCGTACGTTACCAGTTGGGCCCTTGTTGGCCTGGGGATCTCTCCGTCCCGGGTAACTTATTGTGTCGCATTGAGGTATCGATGATTACCGACGTTACATAACCCTTCTCCCCTACTTCATCACCGACTTGAATGACTAACACCGGACTATGTGTGGTCTGTATAACTCTTGTCACTCACTCATGACTTATTCATTTTTCATTACTTCCCCCGTCACATCCATTCCCATCTGTCATCGTGGCTCGCCTGGAAAGTGGCAATGCCAACTCCAACTCCGGCGACAAGGCAGCACCAATACCAAACAATCCAACTGGGGCCCCTCACCTGGTCGACAACACGGAGCCAACACATGGCAACGTTTAAAGATAGTAATTTCTCACCAACCCTCCCTTGGGGTTCCTTGCGGCACACAGGGTCCAGCCATCTGTCAGTCTTAAGCTGAGTCGACCATCGTAATCCATCGTCGCAACCACCCTTACCATCCAATCACCTATTTCCGCCCTCAGGGAAGGGGGGCGCCGGACAAAACTTACTGTACATCCTGCGCCACGTCCGTAGTGACGGTTCCGGCCATGCATTGAGATCAGCAGGGATGTCTCCGGGCCACTTATGTAAGGCTCTTCACTCTGCATGTATCAAGTACAGTTACCTGGACTACAAGATGCAGCTGTGGAGGTTTGTTTGATGTTGAATTGTAAGGATGTGGTTGTTACCCTTGTATTCCCATCGATGTGGCCTAGGCATAGTAGGGGGGCGTAGTATAAGGTTTTCCTACCAGGATACCCAATAGATACATATCTAAGAGACGGTCTTGTGACAGTAGACAAAGTAAAATTAAAGTAATTATCTAACCGCGTTGACTTGCTTGCCAATTCTCCTTTCAAGGAATCTGCTCCGTGACGTGACAGGCCTAGTAGTGTGCTTCTGCTGGCTAGTATATAATATCAAGAGGGTACCCCAAATACTATGCTATTCCACAACCCCTGAGAACCCCAATCCTATCCACTGTGAATTTACTACGTATATTGCCTGACCGACCATGCCGTAAAGCAATACCCCGATGGTCCTATGATCTGGATAGTAAGACTAATAATCATAAAGCGCAAGTCTCTACATGCCACGTTAATATGGCTTCTCATGTATAGCACGGCTGGACCCCTATGTCTGGCTCCACACCAATCAACAAATAGGCAATACAAACGAAACAATCATCGTGGTATGAATTGACTCGGGCTATGTAGCTTCGAATGATAGGAAGCGATGGAATCATGCATAGGAGTATATATCTGCCTCACAAAGTAACTTTCCCATTAGCATACTCATCCTCATACTGGGACTTACTATGTATCTGATGAAACAACACTGATAGCCAAATCATCAGGAAAAAACTAGGCCTAGAGCGCTAGAGCTAGCATCATTTCCGACTCAAGATCAAATGAGCACAATCAACTCCTGCCAATGGTAACTCCTCCCCGGTTCCAAGCTACCGTTAAAAACCTGAGCAGTATAATGCATGGCGGGATGTATTTCCGTCTACTAAGCTTCTCCAGAGAATACTCACTCGATCTCGGTGTACACTAACATTTAGCCAAATAAAGAAATTAGTTATCCATCGTGCGCTGCAGAGACTACGAATATTGGTTTCTAGGAACAACAGATATAGGGTCTTAGATCCCCACCACGTGGAAATTGGCTCCTTACTGACGTCCGGGGCTGCAGTCCAGGCAACGGATTCAGATCAATCTCATCAATGACATAAGTGGTCAAGGGTTGATATAATATGAAAGTGAAAATCAGTTCTGCACTATGCCGATGAATGAGAAAGAAGTGAGGGATAATGTAAACAATTAGTCTTAATGTAGGAAGTACTAGAACATATCCGGGTCCACGATATACCATGATACTATAAATATATTCAGAATCCAGATATATCACAAGAAATAGACTACCAGTAAGTATCTAGGGACCTTCAGATATATGTATCTCTCACGGCGACCTCTGCTATCGACATTCATCAGCTGGCAAATTCCACATAGTAGCTCTGCTTCGATAGAACTGCATACTTTCGTTTTCAAGCTATTGATTGAAAGATGCTAGAATTGAATATTCCGATGTCAGCTCTGAAGGAATCTCATCCGAAGACGAAAAGACAACTAGAATAATGATGTACTATTGTCCTGCCTCCACGTGCAGATGCAGAGAGGGAGGAACCGGGGCAGCCATCAGGCCGCCCGGCAGCGACCCTCACCGCCCATTACTGTACGGGTTTAGATATGATCACGTGAAACACAACCTTGGAAGCGGGAAGATGAGTCAGCCGCCGCGGAACGGAGGAATTGTCACCCGACATTTGTCAAACCCACAAAAAAAGAGTGGGTGATAGGTTTTCTTTTACCATCCCAATCTCAAAAGACGAGGCCGGAGCGCACTTCTCTCAACAACCACATTAAACCTTTAGGTATGTGGTATTTCCCCGCAAGCCACGGCTGATTGCCCGTTGTTTTTGATCATGGTCAAAAATTTTTTTGTCATGCCCAAAATGCGGTAGCATTCAGTAGTGGGCTTTGAAATAGCGGAGTGAACAAATGCTGATTGAAATTGATCATGCAGAAGTTTAGTTAACTTCAGCGTAACGATGGCCCCCAAGAGCAAGAAGACCGGTGACACCATCAACTCGCGCCTGGCGCTTGTTATGAAGTCCGGAAAGGGTATGTTATATCAGAATTTGCAAGTTCAGACATTTTAGACAAGTCTCTAATCGTACCATCTAGTCACCCTCGGTTACAAGTCCACCATCAAGACCCTCCGCGTGAGTACACCGGATATTTCAGGCAATAGCCGTGCAGAACGTCCGTGAATGGTCGACTAATAATCTCAACAGTCCGGCAAGGCCAAGCTGGTCATCATCGCCGCTAACACTCCTCCTCTCCGCAAGAGTGAGCTCGAGTACTACGCCATGCTCGCCAAGGCCCCCGTCCACCACTTCTCCGGAAACAACGTGAGTGACCACGATCCGCCTGGGGATCTCTATGGAGCGGCGTCCGGGCCTAGTTCTGGAACGACTTCTTCCATTAGAGATCATAACGTAAAGTTGGAGTATGCGCTAACGTCGTGAACAGATTGAGCTCGGTACCGCCTGCGGTAAGCTCTTCCGTACCTCCACCATGGCTATCCTCGATGCTGGTGACTCCGACATCCTGTCCAGCCAGTAGGTGTAAAGCCTGGTCAATGAATTCATGTTATGTCTGAACGGCGGTATGCCATGATGCACAACGTCACGGCACGATTTAGATAATGACAATGAACTTTACATCTATATTGGGTTTCGTTTTAAATGCTGTAGGATAAGATTGTAGGAGTGATCAGGAAGATAGCACGGCCGTATCACTAAAGAACCGGGGGAAGAGCGGCAGCTCGACTCCACTTTATGAGTCACATGACAAAAGTCCAGACATATTGATAATTATAAAGCAGCTGAAAGTCGTCACATTCCATTCCGCAGTAAAACATGTTTCATTCACAGCTTAGAAAGACTGATATATCAGTCTGAACACTCCAAGAATGTCGGAGTTGCCGTAGTCTGACAAATGCGTCATAGCGTCTACGGGATGTGATTGGCGGAGAGGGTAGGGTTTAGGGCTGTGCCACTCGGTAGCGGGCGCTTGCTTGGAAATCAACGTGGAAAGTGCCTGCGCCCATAATCCCCCTTCCCTTTCGCCTCCCGACACCACCTTTTTCGACAACCTCACCGTTCGCAGGAAGTGCAGCCGCCCCATTTCCAGCAGTCAAGATGGCCCGTCGTCCCGCGAGATGTTACCGCTACTGCAAGAACAAGGTGCGTTCGACCGTTTGATGGGTTTTTGTGCGTTTTTGTGTTTTGGATGGGATTTTGTCTTGTGGGGAGCATTTGTCAACCAACACCAACGAGGATACGCGCTACGAAGAGATGCTCAGGACGATGGGTATCATGTCTTGCTCGACGATGGATGGAAAAAGGTGTACCAGACAAGGATGGACATTAAATGCTGACCTGATTCTCGAATGACAGCCCTACCCTAAGTCCCGGTTCAACCGTGGTGTTCCCGACCCCAAGATCCGTATCTTCGATCTGGGACGTAAGAAGGCCAACGTCGATGACTTCCCTCTTTGCGTTCACCTCGTCTCCAACGAGTACGAGCAGCTGTCCTCCGAGGCCCTCGAAGCCGCCCGTATCTGTGCCAACAAGTATGCCGACCCGCCGATCCCACTACGCCCAGCCATCATCCACTAACACATATATCCAGGTACCTCGTGAAGATCGCCGGTAAGGAAGGTTTCCACCTCCGTGTCCGTGTGCACCCCTTCCACGTCATCCGTATCAACAAGATGTTGTCTTGCGCCGGTGCCGATCGTCTCCAGACCGGTATGCGTGGTGCCTTCGGTAAGCCCCAGGGTACCGTTGCCCGTGTGAACATTGGCCAGATCATTCTGTCCGTCCGCACCCGTGACGCCAACCGTGCTGCTGCCATCGAGGCTCTCCGCCGCTCCATGTACAAGTTCCCCGGTCGCCAAAAGATCATCGTCTCCAAGAACTGGGGTTTCACCCCCGTCCGCCGCGAGGACTACGTCCAGCTCCGCCAGGAGGGCAAGCTCAAGCAGGACGGTGCCTACGTCCAGTTCCTGCGTGGCCACGGTCTCGTTGAGGAGAACATGAAGCGTTTCCCCGACGCCTACGAGAACGTTTCTCAGGCTTAGATGGATGTTTAGCGCTTTAGGACACGAAAGAAAAAAAGACGTATTGAACTATTCCCACTTTTCATGTCCTGTTTGTTATCCTTGATGTCATTTAGTCACCGTATGGGGCGGAGTTATTTAACGCGGATTTCCTCGGCTTGCATGGTTGCACAGTATGATACCGTAGGACGATCCCGAAAGAGTATCACGGAGTCGTACTTCGTAGTACGTAGTCCAATAAGCTTCAGTCATGTCAACGGAATGATAGCCTGTTTTGCTTACGACTTGTGATCTGGAAAAGATAAATGATATCATATCTGTGCTATCATTAAGCCAATGTATTCCAAATGTACTAGTAGTACACCACTGTTGATGAGAATGTCCATCTAGCATTATAGTAGCAGTAGACCCTCTGTATGATGTTGTTGATTTGTATTTGTTGACTTGACAAATACCAAATGTCAGACTACTAGCGTACAATTCCATTGATCTTCTCTCCAGACTCTAGGTTAGCCTCTCAGGTAGTCCTACCCTACCGGTAGAGTTGCACAACCTACACCACTACCTACCAGCGGTCAGTCTACCGCATCTTCATCCTTACCCATAACTGCAAGTATCTCAGTACTATAAAGTACACAATTCTTCACTTCTATCTTCACAAAACATAAGATAGACGGACTAATAGTATTAGTCTACATAAGTTGCAAGACTACAGAGGCAGACACGACCGAGGGGCTGAGAACCACACTGTACGGGATGAACGCCACAGCTGAAAGAGCGGGCACAGCCAGCAGTCGAGACCTGAAGCGAGCAAAAACCCCTGACTGACTGACTGACTGACTGACAGCCCAGCCTCGCCTCGCCTTGGGCCATGCAGGCAACACGGAGGAATGATGACATGTCATTGAGATCAGAGCCAGTGGAGAGAGCGATGGGGTGACCAACACTGGCTGATCCCTCGATGGCTTGACCTGTTTATTTTGTGGAGAAGCCAGTCGAAAATCAGGAGAGAGATGCACACACACACACACACACACACACACCGCGCGAGGTACGAAGCATACTACCTCTCATCGTGTCGGTCGGTGGGTTGAGGTGGCAGCAATAGGAAAACTTCCACAGGAAGTACGTACTTGTACTCTATAGGGAGTGGTGATATCGAGACTCGACAGATCCCGCAGACAGACGTCGATCAGCCGATCGTCAACCATGCAGTTGATCGGATTCGATAGTCAACGTCACCTCCTTTCCTTTTCCTCCCCCCAGCTTTTTGCTGTATGTATTTACGGGGTGTTTAGTCTGGATGCTGGTCGGGGACGGGACAATATTGACAAGACTATTATTTATTTATAAAGTAGACAAAGAAAACGCCAGAATAAGAAGGACATCCTTGTTCTGACATAAACTGTGGATAAGATTGTCCCGTCGATGGATTTAAACTTTTCCCTCGTTTTGTTGCAGAGAGAAAAGAGAGAGAGAGAGAGAGAGAGAGAGAGAGAGAGAGAGAGAGAGAGAGAGTTCCTGCAATTATCCACCCACCGACCCGGTCTGGTGACTGGCATCATCCGGGTTCATTTCGTCCGGTTGACTTGTTCGTCCTGTCTACCATACTTAGTCTACCCATAGCACTTTTCGACTAACTGTCTCTCATCATTAAAGAGGGGAATCATTTCCTGTGCCAAACCCCTCCTCCCCTCCCAAGGACCATGGAGCATTTCTTG